CTTGCTGTCCTTTGTCAAAACGACTACTAACTTTTATCGATCAGCAGTTTAAAATTGCGGCTGTAAGTGTTGGCCTCGGGCTGATCGATTTTTCTCCGTTCGCTGTCTGGCCTTTCGTGTGGATTTTGGCTTGGCGGGATGGCGGATATGCAGAAATCATCTACAACCCCTGCAAAGCGCTAAAACCCTGTCAACAGAGGCGTGTCAATCTGGGGGAGGGCAATTACGAGCGCCAGACAGCGAACGGAGGAAAATCGATCAGCCCAAGGCCAACACTTACAGCCGCAATTTTAAACTGCTGATCGATAACAGCCAGTAGTCGCTTTGACAAAGGACAGCAGGCCCAGCTGTCCGAAACGTCGGCAAATCTCCAAATTTATTCCGGTGAACCATAGATGACTTATAATTCATATCCCGGAATTCTGACATTTTTGAATTTGAATTCTGCATCAACCCAAAGCCAGCACTTGCAACCACAACCTTAAACCTGCTGATCGATAAAGTCAGTATTCGCTTCGACAATGGACAGCCGGCCCAGCTGTCCGAAACGTCAGCAAATCTTCAAATTTATTCAGGTAAGCAAAAGATGAACTCTTAATTTCTAACTTATTAGCCGTCATCAGGCAGTCATAACCAACTCCAAGTGGTGCACCACCCGAGGCTCGAAGTCACGACCTCTTAATCAGAAGTTCAACCCTGAAACCTACTGCGTCACAGGCTCGTTATCTAAGAGCTTTAGATGGAGAATATTGACATTGGTTAATTAACGCGCACCCAAGCGGTTACGAGAATAACTCGCTCCGTTCCGCGGATTCTAGCATCGGATGGTATACCATCTGGGGTTAGGTATGGCTAGCTGATGATGGTTAATGGGCCAGAAATGAACATTCCGGTCTGTTTGTATTTGTCGGTCATGTTCTTCTGTCTGAGTCCCGTAATCGATCGGCGAGCGCCGATCCGCCAGTGTTAATGTTCCTGCTTTAAGCCGGCAAGACACGATACCGTGGCTCCGGCCAGCCATTTCCGGCCCCAGGTTT